GTCGGCTCGCTAAGGCGCCTCCGTGCCGGACAGCACGTCCTCGTGCAGAGCCTCAGGACAGGTCTGTGGGACTGGGATCGGGGAGCGGACGTCGCGGCCATCGGTAGGCGGTGGACTATCTGGTACGTCTGTACAGCGGCTTCACGTGCTGGTACAACCGCTGGTGTCGGCCCCCGACACCGCTCGTGATGTTCTCGCCGAGTGGCGGCTTTGTTTCGACCCGCGAAACGCGCGCCTCAGACAGAGGTGGTGTACACATGCGCAGACACCTACTGACCGCCACACAGGCACCTACTGACCCACCGTTTTCGTATCGAGCCCCAGCTGCCTGGAACAGGCTACCATCATGCGTTCGTGATTACACAAGACTAAGCGTGTTCGTCCACAAGACTACTGTATGCGATGTAATTTTAATTACTCGCAGCTGATCTCAACCGGCCGATAGCGCGTTGTTTGGTCCGGTTTTAGCTCTAATCATGGTTCGTATCATGTTATTGCATACCTTTTTATGTGCCTTTTCACACTGCACTTGTATGACCTAAAACAGTGGCAGCCACCTGTGGATAGTTTGCAGCATACTGATACGCTACGCCAGCGGTCGAGTCACGGCTACAAGACGGTCGAGACACGGCTACTGCGTCTCTTGCGACGGTCGCGGCGACGACGGCTACTACGTCTCTGGCGACGGTCGCGGCGGCGGCGGCTACTGCGTCTCCGGTGGTGGCGGCGGCGGCGGCGGCTACTGCGTCTCCTGTGGCGGCCGCGGCAGCGACGGCTACGACGTCTCTGGCGACGGTGGCGGCGGCGGCGGCTACTGTGTCTCTGGCGACGGTCGCGGCAGCGGCGGCTGCTGCGTCTCTGGCGACGGTCGCGGCGGTGTCGGCTGCTGCGTCTCTGGCGGCGGCTGCGGCGCCGACGGCCGTAATAACGCTCGACGTATAGTCCGTGACCGCGTTAGCGCCATCGTTCCAGCAGCGTTGCCCGTAAGGCGCAGCCTGTGACGACCCCAGCAGCTACGGGCACTGCCGGGTAATTGGCCTGAGCTGGTGTAACATTTGCATGTAAAGGTGGGCGGCAGCGAAGTGTGAATAAGGCCGAGCAGTTATGCTGGTTTTGTGAGGTGGGCCGTATTGTTGTCGCCGGGTTATATTCGCAGTTTGGTCCGATGTGTCCCCCCCCCCCCCCAGTCCTGGCGGGCGCGTTGTGTGGCCATGACTGCACTCTGCCCGACGTCGGTGGACCGCTGACCTAGCCGACCTTGGCCGCATTTAGCCTGGGGAGGCTACCGTATGTAGCCCGAGGAGGTGGATACAGCTTGTCCCTGCGCCTGACAGCGTGAATGGAGACTGCGATATGACAGGACATGTGTGGAAGCGATCACACAAAGCTTAAAAAAATAAAATGTGTATCATGATAGAATGGGGATCTTTAGGCGGCAACATGATGAGCTTGGGTCCTTTGTGCAATATTTTAATGTTTATTACTATTAAAGCACTTAATAAGTGTACTGCTCTTAGCATTTGACGTTGAACTATGCTTGTTTGAGCACCTTTGTCATAAGCTGTGTTATGATATTTACGCTTACCTGACATATGCGCCTTTTATAATGTTTCCCCCAAGAGCTGTATATGGAGATTGCCCCTCCCTCTATTCCACCGACGCAATAAACCATATGTTAGCACCAGAACACATAAAATCAAGTTCCGGCACCACCAGCTGAGAAGTGGAAGCAAACGTACAGATGCAGATGAAGAGGCGGTGCGGACCCGGCATGATCCGTATCATGCTATAGGCATGACAAATCATGTAACAGAATGCTCAAGGTAGTCGTGACCAAAGACAACTAGTGACAGCCCGCGAAAAATCCTAAAAATACTAGTAGTACTCATTCGGTGTTAAAACGGGTTACCGACCCCACAAGACGGAGAAGATTTACCTGGCCAGTTTCATGCAGGATCTGGAACTGGTTCTCCAATGAGCCCATTAAGCTAAGCGGGGCTTGTTGTCGAGTGTCCTCCCGGAGCCAGCCCCGCTAATTAAGGCATCCGTGTATGATCATTCATATTTTAGCAGCGATCATCGAACCTGACGGAGGTCATACATGAAGCGAGTTACAACCATGCAGAGCGGAAAAGGCAATTTTGGAAATAACGTAGATATGTTGGTTAAGTTAGTTTGCATCAACAAAACCACACTTGAGCACCACATCATTAAATGATGTGGCGCCATGCTTGCAGATGCGACGAAATGTTTGCAGATAGCATTTTCACGAGCGCTTCACGAGAGGACCCACATACAGTCGCGAAAGAGGCAGCTTTGGTTGTACGATACGGACGCAACACAGCAGTCGCACAGCAGCAGGCGGCACGGCGTCCCTGGCTGCCGTGCAGCCCGGACAAGTAACCAAGTCTGCGGTGCTGCTGTGAGGGGACGTCCCAGCCTGCTGCGACGCTTGGAAATTTGGCTTGCCTACCGCGCGGCCCGGAGATATTCCGGCCTACCGCACGGCTCAGAGATATCCCAGCCTACCGCATGGCCAGGAGACATCCCGACCTATCGCGCGACTCAGAGATATCCCGGCCTACCGAAAGGCTCGGAGATTCCGGCCTACCGTGCGGCTCGGAGATATCCTGGCTCACCGCGCGGCTCGGAGATATCCTGGCCTACCGCACGGCTCGGAGATTCCGGCCTACCGCACGGTTCGGAGATATCCTGGCCTACCGCGCGGCTCAGAGATTCCGGCCTACCGCACGGCTCGGATATATCCGGCTTACCGCACGGCTCGGAGATTCCGGCCTACCACACGAATCGGAGATATCCTGGCCTACCGCACGTCTCGGAGATTCCGGCCTACCGCGCGGCTCGGAGATATCCTGGCTTACCGCGCGGCTCGGAGATATCCTGGCCTACCGCACGGCTCGGAGATCCCGGCCTACCCGCGGCTCGGAGATATCCGGCCTACCGCGCGGATCGGAGATGCCCCGGCCTACACGCGTAAATGTGGACTGTTAGATTTAGGGTAGCGGCGCTGCTATTCATTTTGGCATAAATTTCGTCGTCGAGAGAGAGAGAGAGAGAAGAGAGAGAGAGAAGAGAGAGAGAAGATAGAGAGGAGAGAGAGAGAGAGAGAGGAGAGAGATAGAGAGAGTAGAGAGATAGCTCGATATAGCTTCGACTATCAGGAGAGAGGAGAAGACGAGAGAGAGATGATATAGAGAGAGATACCTCCACTCCTCTCTCCTCGAGGAGAGGGAGAGAGGGGGAGACGCGCGAACGAAGAGAGAGAGAGAGATATATATATATGTATCCTATATAATATATAATATATATATATATATATACATACACTGACGTGCCCACCCGTTGAGGATGTATCACAATCAGTCATGGAAACTGGTCATCGTTGTCCTTCAAGGCGTTCTGCGGTCGGTGTACGTATCCCGCATCTGCCGTATGGAGCGAGCAAGACACTGCTCAATATTTTTTTGTGGACTCAAATACTCTTTCACGGCTCGAAGATATCCCGGTCTCCCGCGTGGCTCAAAGATATTCCGGACTACCACGCGGCCCGGAGGTATTCTGGGCTGCTGCACGGCTCGGAGATATCCCGACCTACCGCACTACTCAGAGTTATCTCGGCCCAACGCGCGTCTCGGAGATATCCTGGCTTATCGCGCGGCTCGGAGATATCCTGGCTTATCGCACGGCTTGGAGATATTCCGGCCTGCCGGCTCGGAGATATCCCGACCTACCGCACGACTCAGAGTTATCTTGGCCCAACGCGCGGCTCGGAGGTATTCTGGCCTAACGCGCGACTCAGAGATATCCCGGCTTACCGCACGACTCAGAGATATCTTGGCCTAACGCACGACTCGGAGATGTCCCAGCCCACCGCACGGCTAAGAGATGTCCTGATCTACCGCGTGGCCCAGAGATATTCTGGCCTACCGCGCGGTTCAGCGATATGCGGTCTACCGTTTGGCTCGAACATTTGTTCCGGGCTGCTGCACTACGGAACTGTCCATAACTGCCACACCGCCCAGAAGGCAACTGAATCTTTCACACTGTTTGCAGGGGCGTTCTGGTCGGCCTTGTCAGTCAGAGAAGTAACAGCTTGCTTCGCCCCGGATAGGCGAGCTGGTCTCTGTACCAGAACACAGCCTGTCATGCGATATCATCGCGAAATTTTGTGGCCTGCCGCGACCCTCGGAAAGACGTCTTGCCGCTGAATAACGGCCAATAGCGTGCAGCCCACGAAACAAAAGGTTTTAAAAACATCCAAGTAAATATGATTTTTGGTGGTCTTTTAAATCCTTGGACTTTATTAGCAACTCCTTTTATAAGATTTAGTCCTCCATGCCTCCAACTCACATTGACTGCCAGGGGTGGATAGATCGGGAAACAGAGGCTCCAGCCAACTGGGTGGGGACAGACACATGCTTTTAAGAATCTCGGAAAGCTGACCTAAATTTAGATTTGTACTACCTACAATTACGATACGTAAATTTACCCAACCACATAAATTTATATTGCTTAAGACACCAAATAGGGTGCCATGTTTGTGTAACTGTTCTTGTGACGTAGCATAACCTATATCAAGCCACGGTGACCCAATTTGACCTAGTAGAGGTCACTTGGTAAGAGCTTGACTTTTAGATCTCAGACTGCGTTTAAATTTACCTGTCAAAGCATTTTCATTGCGTGATATCATTTGGTAGACAGTTAAGCCAACTGACGGAATTAGTACCACCATCTTTTGAATTCATGACGTCTCCATTTCCGTTCGTCTCCGTTCACAACCTTTCTCCATCTGTTTACTGATGAAGGATGACGGAAACTGGGGCGAAAACTCCCCGTGTATGCGAGCTCATTGTTTTCACTGTATGTTTTACTACGCGCTATTGTGGTCCAACTGGTCAACATATGCAGCCTGTGCCAGTCCCCTGACGCCCAGGCCGCCTGGCTGTGAAATCGTCGGCAGGCCAGCGCCGCTGCTCACCTCAGAGCTCCTGCAGCGGAATGTCGCTGGTGACCAGCATCTGATCAGCAGTCGGCTGGCAGTGCTGACTGCGCAGGTTGGTCTGTGTGCAGGTCAGCAGCTGGCCCTGGGTGCGTTCCTCCTCGGTGGCCGCCGCGGCGCCGCGGCGCCAGCGCCGGCACGGCAGCGCGCGCTGCGCGATCTCATGGAACTCCTTGCGGAAGTTGTCGTTGAGCCAGCCGTATAGGATGGGGTTGGAGCAGGCAGATGACATGCCGATCATGTGGCAGACGGCGAAGGCGATGCGCATCTGCTCCAGTGCGCCGCTGGTGCTGTACGAAATGAAGTCGGACACCAGGTTGCAGATGTTTAACGGGATCCAGGATACGGCGTAGATGAGCGCGATGGCCACCAGCAGCGTGTGCGTCCGGCGCGTGCGCTGCTGTCGGCCCTCGCGCAGGCTCGACGTTCGGTTGGCCAGCGCTGACAAACGGAAGCGCAGCTTGCGCGTGATGCGGGCGTACGCGATGCTGACGGTGATGATGGGCACCACGTATTGGCAGACCATGCTGAAGACAGAGTAGTAGGCTCGGCCGCTTTCCACGGTCCACGCCTCGATGCAGTAGCCGAAGGAGTCTGGGAAGTCGAGCACCGACTGGTTGATGGTCTGATGTTCCAGCTTGCGCACGATGAACATGGGTGAAGCGATCAAGGTGGCCAGTGCCCAGATGCAGGCTAGAATAATGCACACCTCGACCAACTGCAGGTTCTTGCGTGTCGGGTAAACGATGACCTGATATCGATCAAGCGCGATAGCTGTGATCGACATGGAGGAGACGAAGACGGAGACGCCCTCCAGCCCACCGAACAGCTTGCACAGGAAGTCAGTGTCCTCGCCAAGGGGCCAGTAGCGTGACAGAATCTCCATCAGCGTCAGCGGCATGGTGATCAGGCAGAGCAGCAGATCTGACACGGCCAAATTCAAGATGAACATGTTGCGCGCCGTCTTCATCGCTGCCTTCCGCAGCACCGCCAACACCACCAGCCCGTTGCCGAAGGCACCAAAGCAAATGAGGTGCGCGTAAAGGATGACGAACGTGTAGTATGCCTGGCGGCTAACCATACGGTTTTCTCGCATCCGCGTCAGAAATTCTGCATCGAATGTGACATTTTTGCTGGCGATGCGTGAAGCAAACCGTCTGATCTCATCCATGACCGTGTCCTCATCTCCGGGGATCAAACGACTCATGTACTCGAGATCGCACTCGGCCGTCCGGTCCCAGATCATCGGGCAGTGCAACTCCAGCAGAGTGACGGGCACGTCTTCTAACGCCAAACCGGTAGTCATGCTACTAGGTGTCATGGTAGCAACGGTGCCGGCTTCCGGAAAACCTATCTGCACCATCAGGGCACCTGCAACAGCAGAGGCCAGGTAGGTCACTTCTTGCACTTCGGGGGGGGGAGGGGGGCTGAGTCCCCAATGCTGACTTCAGGCTCCCCAATGATCCGCTGAGCCCCCTCAAGGCAAATGAGCAAAGAGAGAATGCTGGGCCGAAGAAATGCAGAACACTCATCTTAACTTTTGGTTCACTACATACCTACACACCACATGACTAGAATCCTGCTCATTTTGCACCAGATAGTATCAATAAGTGCCCAAAAATTATATGCCAACTTCATCACATGTTAGGCTAGTTCTCACTTTTGCCGTTGTTTCGATATAGACATGTTGCCGGCATACCAACCATCTACATCTTCACTCTCCTGGTTTTTATCCGAGGAATAAGGCTATTACTACTGTCCGATCTATGTTTGATAAGTTTGCCCATAACAATACCCGGATTTTAAAGGTACAGGGTGGCCCAGATTAAACTTAGCCTATGTTTCCCCCAACAGTGGTCAGTGTGTGTTTGCCGCACAATGGTGACTGTGGTGGCATTCGACTGCCAATCAAAACACGATCAGTGACAGCAAAAGCTATCAGTGATCTCTCATCCACCGAATTGTGACAACAGAAGGTGCATCAGCTGGTCCCCTGGCCGTCCGGGATGCGCCACAGCTGAGCCTACCACAAGCAGTCGATGGTCCGGTGGATTATCCACGGTGACGCGCCTCATCTTAAGCCTGAAGGTGGCCTCGAGCCTTTGAAGGATCGCTGGCTTGTCCATGTCGATGTGGTTCTTGAGGTTACCCACTCAGCATGAAATCCAGGGGCGACACGTCGGACTAGTAAGAAGCCGCAGCACGGCAGTTGTAATCTGGCGCGCATTCCAGCGAAATAATTATCAAACCAACCCAGTGAGGCCCGTAATGCCTGCCTGCGGGGTTCCCGCGGCTTACCCGAGCCTCTCCACGTCGCAGGCGATCCCGTGATGCCGCCTCAGGGCCGCCCAGAAGGATATCAGAAGGGTAGTGCTATAGCGCTTTCAGGGGATGGTGACAAAATACGCGGTCTCATTCTCAGGCATCTTCTGTAATGTCATGGCATGACAAATGTGAGATCCCAGATTACCGTCACTGTTTCTTGTCACATTTTGCTACGGAATGGTTCTTGGAATGTCGCCGCACTCCTTATTTCGCAAACACACACTGGTCACTGCTAATGGGCATGTGTCTAGTCTTTTCTTTTATTTTCTCTTCTTCCATAAGCCTTTTGTGAGTATTTTGATCAAGCCATTGATATTGGCAGCAATGAAAAGTACATTTCAGTCTTGTTGCAATGATTATTCAGTGCAATTATTTTTCCTTTTCATGATAATGTTGGCTGTTTGCGTTGTACGGGTGCAAACATAGCTCTTTTAGGGGAAGAACAAGCATCAGCACGCCTGCTTTGCTGTGCTAATGAAAAACGTGGAAAATTCTATTGTGTACTTTTTTTGGTTTAAATCACCGTTCTAGGTGCCCTGGTTGCCGAGGTGTGGTGCGCAATGTGAAAAAACGGCCGGTGACAGCCAAATCTACCTCACTGACTCGTATATGTACGACACGTAGCACGTGAGACATGACGATTCATACGTGATTTTCTGTTCCAATGCCTATCGACACGTGCTACTCCTCAGTGACTGGGTGCCCTGGATGCCGCGATGTGTCATAACACTTAAACCAGTGAAAATGCGAAATTCACTCTTTCCGGAGCTTGTGGGCGCAACACGTAACCTGTGGGTACGCCCGCGTGAAACCCACGACTGGCAGTTTCATTTCTTGTTACGGCGCACCATTATGACAGTCTTATGTAGCTATATGCTCTACGGCGCACCATTATGACAGTCTTATGTAGCTATATGCTCTAAGTGCGGAAGTATGACGTCAAACGTGAAAACCGACGAAATCAGCAAGTTGGGTCTTCACAGCTAGTGTGCATGTACAGAGTGGCATGTGCGACATCACATCTTACATCACGCGATTGCCCGTTAGATTGCTTATCGAACCACAACATTCTCGAGTCGCTTGGCGTGCTGGGTGCCGCGATATCGCAAAAACGTGAAAATTCGTCGAAAGTAACCCAATTCATGTTTCAACACGTGGGCACCATGATACGTGACACGTGTGAACAATCATTGCCATCTTCCCTCCGCTCCTTATCGAAGCGTGCCACTCCAGAGTGTGTCTGTGTCCTGGGTGCCGAAAATTGGCCCGACGCGTGTAAACCCGTGGTAGAGAGCAAAATCCATCTTTGAGCGCGTGCCGCGTGATACATGCGACCGCAGCACTTTGCATGACACATCTATTTGTGTCACTCCCGGATCGCTCCGATCCATCGCTGTCAAGATATCGGTGCGAGATAGCATAATTGATCGGAGGCAGTTGATTACGGCAGCCATTCGAGTGATCAGACGGCCGTTCAGCCTTGAAGCAGCCGCCAGCGTCAGCCAAGGCACTGAACAGTGCCGTTCCGGCGCGGCGTAAAAAGCTGTCATGCAGTCCATTAGTTTAGGATCATTAGGAAGTAAAATGTCGCAAAAATATGACCAACAAACGGATGGTAGAAGAGAAAGAATGTATCGTCCATCACGCTCGTGCAGTCTTCCACGCCAAATTATGAGTTGTTTTAACGATAGCGACTTGTTTTCAGTGCCGACTTTAAAGGCTTGACTGTTTGCAGCTTGTTTTGCAATTTTCAACGCAACGGTGCGTCGCTCAAGCTTGCGATGCGCACTGAAATGTAGTTGCTTCGAATGTGAATGTTGGAAAACAAAATTTACCCCTCTACCTGCATTGCATGCTGCGATGTAACCCAATACGTAAACGCCCGTAAAAGCGACCAGTTGCATCTTTCCAACAGGTGCACACGTGACACGTATCATGTGATGCTTTAAACGTATACCAATCCGATGGCCCATTCTACTGTCTACCTGGCTGGGCAAGTTTCATGTTGCTGCGATCTTTGGTCATATGGTCAAATGATCTTTGGTCATATTATCACATCTGGCTCTGGGAGTGGGCGCGGATGGTGCCGTCGTCCGGTGGCCGCGAAAGTTGCGTCACCCGTGTGAAATCTATGGGGATTTTGCAACCTTTTTTGCCCACCATACGCTCATTTTTGCCAAATGCAGGAATTTCACGTGACGCTGCTGCGGTCTGCTACCAGCCTGGGTTTTGCGAAAATTTCATCAAAAATTCCCGACCGTTAAGCCTGCGCATGATCCCAAGGAATCGGTGGCGGACATACATGCATCGTTCCACGAGTATAATAGCAGAGTGCACCAATCAACGGGACGGAAACGACCGGTACGTGTAATAACTAATGGCGTGTCCCAGACAAGCTAAAACCACACGAAAAATTATGTTTCAATAGCCTGTTAAGCAGAGGCATTTTCTTTGGTGCCAAGTTTCTTCAGTTCACCAGAGCTATCACATAACATCACAGTGCCGGGGAAAATAGCGCGTCTTCTCCTTACTACAGAAAAAAACACGACTTGGTAATATTTGTCCCCGTTATGAACAAAGAGGGCCTGGAGCCACATGATCGCAGACACAAAGCACGGTGGAAGGCAATCAGTACAGAAATCTTGAAAGAGTATGGCGCTACATTACCGTAATCTGAGTAAGTGCTAAGGTGCATTATCTTATTTGTTATGAATTGGTTAGTTAGGTGCCAATTCTGAGACCTTACTCAGTTTCATTGGCGTCAACTGCACCAACAGTTCGGCCAATGAGGAATGAGCCTTTGTGAGAACACGATATGTACCAGTGAGAGGCTGATGACACGAAAATAATCAAGGGAAACAATGCTTGCTTAATGATTGCACGAGTTGGATTTAATCCAATGGCAACGCTCACATATACCTGTTTTTTAGATATCTGCAGGTGAAGAACTAAGAATGTGCAGCTCAGACAATAAAGGCTGAAAAAGGTTGTAAAAATTACACTTTAGGTGGTAAACTTCAAAATACCACAAGATTACATTTTTGCAAACACATGATATGTATAAATGTGCCACCCCCTTAATCTGAATCCAAACCATGCATGGATGAGTGCAGGCAAAGAGAAATTATGCTACCATCACCCAAAGTCACTCAATCTTTTACCCAGGTTACACAAAGGGAGTGTTCTACATTTGCATGGGCTTTTGTACTGAACTAACCATTTTGAAGCTCGTTCGGTGCAGTTCACAGTTCTACCCTTTTTAAGACATAAACCTCTCCAGTTTCCGAGCTACACGCCCGTGAAGATGTGCAGACTATTTCGTGCGGACTATGTCGTACAGACGTTTTCGTGCACCCTATTTCAAGGTCACACAGGCATCCATGACGCCATGATAACTTGATTTAAATCCGGCCATTCCATTCGCCATACAGCGATCAAGGTCCCCCCAAAAAATGCAATGTTCGAGCCGTTGATATCTGGTGTACGTGAGCACGCTTTCAAGATATATCGGCCGCCAAGTGGTTCTCGATCAATGTTGGGCGAGGTACGATTACGCAATCAAACAATGACGCCTTGAGGGGCATATGTACTAAATAGGGATATTGCGCTATCTAAAGCGGTCTTTAGCAAAATTTGTTTCTGCCTCCGTTGATGTGACGTGATGCAGCTGTGGCATACGCGATTTCCAATTAAATAGCTTTCATATTTTATCAGGTGAGATGGTTTATTTACATTTTCAGAATGCGCTCTAGATGAGCGTTGTTCTGTGCTTGTGAACTGGATGCCGCCCAAACTGTCCAGTGTAGATATATCTCATCTAATCTGGATTCTCAAAATGTTAGATAATGTGTTCATGCCTTTAGGTTATTGAAGCCAGAAGCGATTTGGGCCACTGCGTTGTGGTGGTACTTGTGAATTATTGGCCAATGATTGTGACATGAGAAGTGATGTGATGTGATGTGATGTGTGTGACGTGAAGTG